AGTTTTTTATTTTCAGTATTAAAAAATAAAAAATGTATTCTAAAAATGTAGCGCAAGTGTCTATGKATTATATTTAAAAGAAATTTTTAAAAAATATTGATTAGAACAAAAGTTATTTAATTTGTCAGAATTTCTGATCTCTGTGGGACACCCTGTATATTAAAACCCGCAATATTATTAACGACACAATTTTGAATTGACAGCACATATTATAATTTATAATATTAATTTATATGCGGGTATAACAAACTCTTACAGTATACAATCCTATTTAAATTAAATAAAAAAGTTTAAAGAAATGTGATGTCATCTTATTGTTATAATACTTATAGAGTTGTGCTAATATATATTATATAGTAATAAATATTGTGCTCATGAAAAATACAAATATGGAACAAGTGCAGAACAGATTTTAGACTTTTTATTTTTAGTTAAAATACAGTTTACCTGTTGAACCTATTAGTATAAAAATATGTTAAATTTCATTGCAATCCACTGATTTTTAAAGTTATATATTTTTAGAAATCATCCTGTTATTGGTATTGAAAACACAAAAGTTATGGTTTTACAAACAGCTAACTTGACAAACTCTTCATCAACTGTTTTTCCGAGTTCAATTGATAAGAAATTTGAAATCAACAATTTTATACCTGAACAAAACGCAATTGAGAAATGCTCGTTGAATGAAAGTTTTTGCATAAAAGTTGATAATTATCCAAGGTACCTAAATACCAAATAAAATTACAAACCTAAAACCAAATCTATTTTAAATTACTTATTATTTTTTTTTTTTATTATTAGAGAAGATTTATCAAATCTTTTTAGAACGAGCAAGTTTTCGTCAAATCCTTATTATGATGTAGATGTTATAAATGAGGTATAAATAATATTTTAAATTATGATATATTAAATTTAACTTTTAAATTATATAAACGCATTTATATTTTAGATAAATGATATTGAAAAAAGAACATCAGATGATCTACTTCAATCATTCTGTCAGTCAAGAGTAAGTACCTATTTAGTATCTATCTATAGACATTACTAGTTATTATCACAAGGTATTTTTTAACCATCTTATAACAGAGCAGGTCATGCCATTTAAATCCTACATAAGAGGCTACTTATACATTTTTTTATTTTATTTTACAGTCYGCAAACAATTAAAGTTCCAACTCGTTTATRGAATAATTTTCTTGTTCCTTACATTGTTTATCTATGTTATAGTCGTATAGACAACTATGTTATCATAAATTATAGTTAAAAATTGCGGTTTTTCATGACTTTTGAGTTTTAACACTATGACACCTTATTTTAAATGCTGCCATTAGGTATTTTTMGGTGCTTTTGATTTGAGCACCAGTTTCGTGGGTAAACAAAAAAATCGTTATGAGTTTCAGTATGATGTAGGTATAGAACTATAACTTAATACTTGAATACACTTTCCATTTATCGGAGTACGTTGCTATACCAAGCGAACTTTTTGATTTCACTTTTAATTGTCACGCTTTCCAGCTGTAAAATTATATTTTTAAATATTATTATATTTACGGCAACAAAGATCAAAAACTACGGTTAGGGCTACCTATGTTGAAATCTTAGGAACTCTATATCTCCTCACGTCTTGAAATATCGATTTGTTAATTTGAACTATGAAATTTGGGTAACCCTTAATATGTCGGTTCTCAATCATCGAAACACTACATAATATATTAGGTTAGGAAATTGTGTAATTATTGCTTTAGTCCATTTTATTTCTGATTTATTTGTGTATATTTATACGTCATAGGTTATAGAATATAACAACATTTTTCTATGTATGAAAAGGGTTTCCTAAAGTCGAGATTTTAAATATTATATTTGTATATATATTATATCATAAACATAACTTTTTTTTTTTTTATTATATATTAGATTAACTAATTTTTATTTAACTTAATATATTTTCTAGACAGCAGTTATATATCCGGAAGCAGGCCTTACATTCAACAACGAATGGCGTTATATTATACAAAATCCAACAAATGACAATTCCAGCATTAAACAAGGAATTTTAGTAGAGAAATGTGTGTAAGTATCAAAATAACAATGTTTAAGATTTCAAACTAATGTGATACATATTTGTAGCGATACTAGAGTTCCGTGCACTTTTGATTCTTCATTACCATTAGGATACGTTTCAACATGTATACAAAAATATCTCTACAAAAGATTGATAACCATTGGAGGAAAAAATGAATTTTATTATGATACTTTTAAAATGCCATCTTGTTGTCAGTGCATGTATAGTGCAAATGAAGATTGGTAAACTAGAAGAAGTGGAAATTAAAGAAATCGAAGATGTTTACATAAATAATCTGATATCTCAAAAAAGAAACAAAAATATACTGTGCGAGAGAAATTAATATTATATGATAATCAAACAAAAATAAAATTAGGTATACCTAAATATTAACCTTATCAATATAATAATTTTRTAACAATGTGTACCACTTATTGAATATTTTATTTATAAAACCATAATGTATAAAATTCAGTTAAAAAACAATATGAACACTGGCTCGTGTGTGAAAACTTCGTGTTTTTAGATCCTAAAAAATGTACTTATTTGAAAATCTCCATATTTATTTTCCTTATAAAACATTTTTGCTAACAATAAGTATAACTTGTAGTTTAGAAAAACATAAAAATTAAATAATTTTAATTATAAATGTGGGTAAATAAATAATAGAATTATAACTCTTAGGTAGGTAGGTAAGTCATAAAAAATAATTTAAAATTTGAACATCATAAATGAAATTGAATAGAACAATAATAATAATTAAAAATGTTACAATTATTTAATTTTCAAAACTAAATTATAAGCTATCGAAGAAAATTCTTTTTTCTTGCTTTTAAATTTGCAAAGTCATCAATGAATTTGTCCACATTAATATTTTCTACTTGAAGTCTTTCGATTTTCAGAATAGCGATGTTTGATAACCGGCAGTCTTGGGTAAAATACTTTTTAAAAGTATTTGGAGTAAATACTCGAATATTCATGAAAAATAGTACTCCGAATATGTATTCGAATACATCATACAAATAGTATTCTGAATAAAGTATTTAGAATACTATAAAAATATTCCAAATACTTTTAAAATATTTTTTGTTATAGATATTAATAAAATAATAATTGCTTTTGGGAAATTATAGCTATATGTTTAAATATATAATATATTGTTTGTAAATTAAAATTATAATATACCTAACTATAACTATTTATGATTTACAATATTATATTATAATATTTATAATAATTATCTGCAATTATTATCTTCTATGAATAATATTATTAAAATATAAAATCTTTTACCAGGACAGGCACAGTTGAAAACAATACAATATACTAAATAAGGAATGTAAAAAGTATTTATTTAAACAAAATAACCAGGAAATCGCAAAATATTAATTTTTTTTCCGATAAAACATCATCATATTTTTGTTCGAGTGATGTGATAAATGGCCAGTGTCGGACTGACTCCAAAAGGCCCCATCAGCAATCTCTATAGAAGGCCCCCAAAAACCATTTTTTAGATTAAAGTTTAATCTAATACATATAATTATACATACATACATATATTTGGGACCTTTAATTAAATTAATGTTTTAAAGCTATTAAAAATGCTTTTGTTAAAATTATTTTTTTACTACTTACAAATCTTACCATCTACTTATGTTAAACCATACGTAATTAGTTACTATCTCACATAAATTGACAATAGAACAAACAAGATAGCATTATATTATATCCTTTATTATAAGACTTTAGTTTAATACATATTTTATTTTTTAATATAATTTTGAAGAAAAACAAGTCAAATTTTGTCAAATTTTGTCATATATCCTTTTAATAAAAAATCCAACCTACATCACATAAGTATAGTTATAACAAAATTTCAAAATATAATAATTATACAATACAAACAATTTTGGATTAATTATAAACTTATTTTAAAACAATATTCTAGTTAGTTCTGTTGAACTTTTAGCAACATTATTGATAACCATATCTTTATCAACAATAAAATCTCTTTAAATATTAATAAGTAATAATGTTTCCATAATATCTTGTGAAATTAAAGATCTTAATTTGGTTTTTATATTTTTTAATTTTGAAAATATGCGTTCACATGTCACTTGAGTACATGGCAATGTCAACACAAATTTATAAGCATAGTAAATATTATTGAAACTACATGATTRTTGAACCATATCATATAAAATATTAAAAGCACATCTTAAACAATTATTAAAAACTTTACAATCTAATGATTCTTTAGTAGATTGTTCTCTTTCAGAATCGGATCCATAGTCATGGTATTGATCATCGGTATCAGACATTTTTTCATTAAAAGTTTTAGTTATAGCATCAAATTGAATAGCAAATTGGTGTAATTCTGAAGCTAAAATGTGTACTTCTATATTAGTTAATTCACCAAGTTTAACCAGGGAATTATCAGGCAAACCATTTTTAATAGATTTAAAATTTTTAGGATCTAAACAGATACAATCTTTAAGTAACTCCGAGTTACTGATGAATCTCTTTTCTATACTAGATGTCATAACATCTAATATATAGTTATATGTTTCAACTTTAAATCGGTTTTCTGTTGAAAGAGAAGGTCTCTCATCAGCTGCTAGTTCTCCTGGCATTTTTTTTTTTTTAGCTACTCTAACTTTCTCTAAACATTTTTTACTAAAATCATCTTTTATCATAAAATCATCACCATTTAATTCCAATGCATTGTTAATTTTTTGTATAAAATTATGGACATCAGAATGAAGTTTATTAAATTTTTGATCGGAATTTTTTGAATTCTTCTTTTTGTTTTGCTTTCCTTTTATCAGCACCACACTGATATTTTCTTTTATGCATTACAATATATCAAATTAATAAATAATAAATAAACAATTAACATTAAAATAAAACACAATTTATTTAAATAAAATGTAGACACTGGCTTCAATTATTATAAATTATTACGATGCGCATCTAATAACTAATCGTGTTATACTGACAAAATAATATTTTGATGCAACGATTTTGCTAATTTTAGTGTTAATCACCCAAATATACCATAGACAAGCAATACGTATATTTTTTATCTGTAATAAGTGTTCAGAATTTCCAAAAATAGAACCATGTATTCTACTAATACTAATTCAATTCTGACCGTAGGTACGCCACTTGCAGGCGGCCAACCAATAACAAATTTATTAATAGTACTTAAATAGTAAATAACTAAATAATAATAGGTACTATTGGGAAGTCGAAATTGTACTGGTTTTATCTACTATTTACTATTATACCAATATAGTAATATGTTACCAGCTATATTAGTAATATTATTTAAAATAATATAAAAATAGTAAAAGTATTTTTTGATCCCTTTTGCATTTGTATTTCCTAAATTATTATGAAATCTAAAACAAAAATGTAATAAAATAATAAATCGACAAGCCAAGGGCCCCGAACCCCCGACTAGTTGAGGGCCCCGTCAGCAATCGCTGATCAGCGGTCCGGGCCAGTCCGAGCCTGTAAATGGCAATAAGTAACCAAAATACATAGGTTTTTACCCTTGTAATACATCTAGACACACACACACATGCAGAGGCTCCATTACTAGTAAATACTCGTCCAAAAATTATATATCAGCTTTAGAAAMACGGTTAACTTTAATAGCATCACATATCTTATAAAGTTTAGAAGGGCTCATTTTAAAATGAATTATAAGAAATTTCATAGCATCAAACCAGGGATTCTAACGGGTATCATAAGGAATTTTTAAGTATTTAACCAAATTGGTTTTAACTATGTCGGCCATTTGACTTGAACGGTTTTGTTTGTTCCAAATAGCTTGACATTTTGCAAATGTAGATACTAAAATAATAAAATCCTAAAAAATATATATTGTTATACTATTAAAGTATTCCGAATATAGTACTTTTCCTAAAAGTATTTTATGCAGTATTCAGAATACCTAAAAAGTATTCCGAATACTACCCAAGACTGATAACCGGTCTTGACCTATAGAGTTGCGCAAATAGTTTTTAATAAGTTTTAACTTCGAGAATAATCTTTCTGCTGAAGCAAATGTTACTGGTATAGCTATAAAAATGATTATACCAGAAAAAACATCTGGAATTATGGAAGTTAAGTCATATTTGATAATGTTTTCTCCTAAATTTTTAACATTCATTTTTTGTAGTGAGTTTTCCTCATAAGTTGATGATAAATATGTTTTTAAAGAGATAATTTGTCTTGTAAAATCTGAACTTGTATCATCTTTGTGTTTAATGGTAAAGACATAAGCTGATTTTATTAAAAGTTCTTCAGATATTTCTACTAATATTTGAGGCATAAGTATACTAAAATCTTCACAAACCATTTGCATTCCTTTAAACCTTTCTCTAAGTTGCATCAATGTTGTATCGATTACTGGGTAAAATACATTTGACCTAAAATTATCTTCCATTACTGTAAGTCGATTATCACTATCTACTTCGTCAAAATGCCTTACAACAAATCTTTGACGCTTTTTATCAAATTTAAATGGTATATTCCATGCGCCACCGAAACGCGACATAGTACGGTACGTAGACGTCATCGAGTATTTTTATATGATTTATCTAAATAATGTGAATAATGTATATACTATATCTATAATTTCTTTATTGAATGTCAATAGAATTTTTTTCTTAAATAAAAATTGATGATATTTGCTATTTTAAATCTTAAGAAGAATTAAATTTTATGTTTGAGAGACCTGAATGGACCCCTAAAAATGTTCTCCGGCCCTGGTCCCGCATGTTGCACTCACTTAACACCCCGGTCTTTACGGCACTGAATAGAAACTGGAATACAGTTTCTTTTAGTTGATTTTTTTTTTGTTAAGACATTAATTTTTATTTACCTATTAAATTAATCTCTATATGATATTAGAAAACTATCAAATTTAACTAATTTGTCAAACTTTATAAGGGAATAAATACTCTACATATCATATCACATTATCACTTACTATAAAAAATTATTTCTTATATAGATTATAATAATAGAATATGCATACCTAATTATTCATCTTCTAGGTCTTCTTATGATTTATTTTTCTTTGGCTTTCTGCAGGTCTTTCAGGCCCATTGCCRCAACAACTATTTGCTTCCACTTTTTTCTATCTTTTGCCGTTTCTTCCCCATTCCATACTTCTAGCATCTTCAAGTTTTCTTTTTTTCTAACTATTCATCTTTTTCTTGGTCGTTCTTTGA